GAGGCGAGGTTCACCTAGGTTCGTATTAATGAGGTCCGGCTTCATTTGCTTTCGACCCTCTCATTTGCTTCCCTTTCATGTCTTGTCCCCTTCCACACACACCTTTTTTTGTTTCATGTCTCTTTTGCCTTCATGTTTGGTCACTTCATTCCTTTCTCTCTCTCTCTCTCTTTTGCGCGCACAACCGTCTGGCCCTTAACGCATGCGTGCATTTCTACTTGCACACTAGCTTGCATGCATGTGGTCCAGGTTTTGGTAAGGAGGTCCCTGTGCACCTGGTTTCCTATTTTCATCAGCAACACATACCTTAGTCTTGTCCCCTCCTCTTGTCATGTCTTCTCTTTGTCTCATTTGCGCGCTGACATGTGCACGTAAGCTGGAACCCTATTTGATCTTTCGCCCCCCTGGCGTGTGTGTGTGGGAACCTTGGACTCATAGGTCACCTTTAGGTGTTTTTTGCAGGGGGATAGCAGCCCATTTCTCGACTTCAGCCAACGAAGCTAGAGAAAAGGGTGGATGAACCTGTAGACGCACAGACTTGTACCTGCTTGAGAACACAATTTCTTCGATGGTTCCTTTTTGCTCATGTTTCAGGTCAACCAGGTTGATGTAAAGTGGTAACGCACTCTGCAGTTTTGCACTTACTGGAAACTGGCAACTGTTGGAAACCTGTCGAACTTGGAGGAGTTGATGCTTTCCCTTTTCCTTTTGAAACTTGTCCGCTTTACATGCTACCTGTTTTACCAAGGCATTTTGTTACTTAAGTTTCTCCAGAGTTTGGGGTGATCAGTTCCGTACGCATTATTTTGAGTGTTTTTCTTTGCAACTCCAACTCCATGAAGGGTGCCACCGGGTCTGTGCGAATCCTTTTTCCAAAGAGAGAGCTTGAAAAGGGATGTGATGGTTTAGGGGTGTCCGATTCCCGGCAACAGCCGGTAAACAATGATCCCAACAGCCTATAGGTGTTGGGCTGCAGTCTTTTCATTTTCGAGAACCAGGTCTTTACTAACAATCATCCATTGGGCCCAGGGAAGGGGCCAGCCACCCGAAGATTCCTACTTGTTGCACCAGGGGGCCGGATCTAGCAGATGTGGTTCGGTGAAGTAATCAATTCAGTTCAGGTGGCGACAGCTGGAGTGGCAGGATCAATTATTTAGGAGGAAAACAGACAGGATTTGTGAGTGAACACTCAGAAGGGTTTGTTCATTGGTGTGTTCGTTGTTTGTGTTGTTTTGTGTGTTTCCCTGGTTTTTCGTTGGTTGTTTTTCATTGGTTTGATCAGTGATGTTGCAGTGTGTTTTGTTCCTTTGTTTTTGTTCAAATTGTTTGGTGTTGCGTTCCAGGCAAAAATCACTTGGCACTGGAAGCTGTCCCTGTTGGGGAGATGCGTGGCAAAGTAGTTCTTGTATAAGGGTTGAGCATCATTTGACAGTGAACATGGCTCTTGCCATGCCTAGACCTGAGAAACCCAGGACGACACCCAGGTTCATGTTCCAGATGGAGTCCCCAAAAAACATGTGAAAGTGACAATTCATAACGGATGTGAGAGTCCTATAAACCATCATCAAGTTTTTCCCACAAGGTCCTTTTGAACTCGCGTCCCACGCTCTTCAGCATCTCAATGGACTAGAACAATCATTCACGGTTTTGCTTTAAGAAAACATGGTTCTTTGGGAGTCCGGTCTTATGTCAACTGCAAGGCTCTGGTGTTTGTTGGTGCTTGAAGTTTGTCCTTACAGTGTTTCGGTTTCTCACTCCTAGAAGAGTGCTCAACAAGTTGGTGTCCCATGGTGTGTTCTTGGCCCAACCTCCAGGTAGTGAGCTGCCTCGAGCCCCAAAAGCCTTTCCAACTGCGCAGATGTGGCCCCAGGACATGGACAGATAGGATTCTGATTGGGGTGTTGCTCAATACTGAAGACCCAGGACGTCCATGTTCATTGCAGTGTTCGAGGTGATGTCCCCTTTTTTGAACCAATGATGACCGCATAACCTCCAAACCAAAACGATGTCTTAACGCTCCAAAGTCAGTGGCGCCTTGCGCCATGCATGTAACTCGTGTCCATTCGATGCCAGATCACCCAGCCACTGGAAGTTTTGGGACACCAGTGATTGGGTGCTTGAGCAGAGGGCTGAACTTCACCAAGCCTCTGACAGGACTGTCCAAACAACATGCAGGCGCTCTTGGCTGGCTATGTTGCTCGCTTTTAGTTGCTCGTAGACCCTGCCAAAAGGATTGACACTGCCATATTCTTTGGTGGTTTGAAATCGATTTGTGCTTAAGGTTGCACCCCCAAAAATTCTCACCTCACGGTGTTTATGTCTTTTCTTCTGTTCGCTTTTGAGAGGGGACCAGTGAGAGGAAGATGGTCTCTTCAGTGCAGAGATTCCACCAATTCCTCTACCTTCGTCGCATGCCTTCTTGGCCTTGTGGCCTTAACAGTCTATACCGCCTTTGAGGGGACCCGTCGGCAGCGCATCAGAACACAGACAAGGGCCCGAGACAAGTTGTTCCGGCAAAAAGAACAGACAACGAAGGAATCGCTCCAAAAGCTGTGCCAATCTGTGAGCGGAAGACATTCGGATTATACAGCTTCAGTTTTTCTTTTTTTGTGTTCAGCGCTTCAGTGCATATGTTTGTAAGCGTTTTGTTTTGATTTGTTTTGCGTTTCTGGTCGCAAGATTCACATGTTTGTAGACAATTGTATACACAAATTTACACAAACTTATATATCTCCCTTTGTTGGTGACCAACTTACCAAAGCGGCTTTTTCGT